TTCTAATCGGATTTTATTTTATAATTAGGCAGTTCAGACGGTTTGAAGGTAAAACCACAAACTAAATCAATTATATCAGTTTTAAAATTTTAGAATTCAAATCAACCCAATTTTATATCAATTTGGATCAATTTTTTATTGAATTGGATCAGTTTAGGTCGGATCAATTGCATTGGGGTCGGATCAATTGCATTGGATCGGATATAAACACCTCTAATTACAACGTTTATGTTTTAGGAATTTAAGCTTAAAAAAAAAAATACTTCTATGTTAATATAACACACCAAATCTCGCATCATTAGGAAATTTTGAGTAAGTCAGATATATAAGTATAGAGATCAACTACTATAAATAATTTGAGTTTAAATTTTTTTAAAACTTGTGAATATTAACCCAAATAGTTGTTAAACATGTACACAAATCCTGAAAAATTGAAGTTTTGTTTATAATTATTGGTTTTTACTTCTTTTTTTTTTTTACTTTAATTCCTTCATTTGTCTAAAGTATAAATGAGGGGAGAGATTGGGAGGAAAATGAATATTTCCCTCAAACCATTCACATGGTTAATTAAATAACAAAATATTCTTTTAGGAATTTAGGTAATGCAAATATTATTATTATTATTATTATTATTGTATATTAAGAAGTTATCTATTTAATATTACAAGGTTTGAACCTGTGATCAACTTTGATTTTAAATGAAAATTTTTAAATCAAGTATTAATTTGGCCATAATCAACTATTATTGCATGTTTTTTCCCCGTGTGATCACTGCGGATAAATAGCTACAACAAATTATGTTAATCTCATGACACCAGCAATGAAAAAAAAATGAATCTCATGACACCAGCAAATTTTTTTTTTTTTTTTTATCAACTCATGACACCAGCACATTAATTTTTTCAGTTTGAATCAGCTCAACTAACTTGTCAATACGGATCTTCTCTGCCTTGAAAATCAAACTATTCCGAGTTCCAGCACATTAATTTTTTCAGTTTGAATCAGATCAACCAACTTGTCAATACGGATCTTCTCTACCTTGAAAATCAAACTGTTCCGAGTTCCGACTCATGACACCAGCACATTAATTTATATGCAACTTTTTATTTTGCAGTACTTCCAAAATATTATTAAATGAATCAAGATTCATTTGCATATATATATATATATGTAAGAGTTTATTTGGTAAAGTTTTTTATAATCTAATTTTTAATATCGGGATGATTTAATGGTTAAAAATTTAAGATTTTAAATTGAAAATCTCAAATTAAAACCTTAAGTTGAGTGAAAAAAAGGATTTACGAAAAGATAAAAGTTATCACCTTTTGTATAATTCGATATTATCAAATGTACCAAAAAAGAGTTTTTATAGCCAAATCTTAAAAAAGCTATTATTTGTTAATTAATATTGTTTGTTAGTTAATATAAATGTTAAATGTTATTTTTAGTCCTTAAATTTTAAAGGTTAAACATTTTTAATTCCTATATTATTTTTTACACTTTTTTCATCTTTAGGTTATAAAAATGTAATTTTTTTAGTTTTTTCGTTAATTAATCAATTAAGTTTATTTATATATGCACACCCTTATTCCTAAACTTATATATGGACAGATTTTAACAAACAGACTTAATGGAATTATATAACTTATAAGTTTAAGGACAAAAATATGTATATAAAGATAAATTTAATGGACTTACTGATAGAAAATCTAAAAAGTGCATTTTTTTTATAGTTCAAAGATGAAAAAATGTAAAAAAATAGTTCAATTACTAAAAATTTTCAAAATTAAAAATTCAAGGACTGAAAAAAAACATTCAGCCTAATGTAAAAGAAAAATTAAAAATTAATACTTAATTATTACTAACTTATGAAAATTTTCAATTTTAATTTATTTTATAATATAATCATGAAATAATTATTATCACTAACCAAACAGACCCAAATTCAAACCATACAAGAAACCCTCTTCCTCCCGTCTCCTTTTCTCTTAAACCATTATATATGCCCTAAAAGAACGATAAATAGGGCAAAATGTAAATTAATCCGGAATAATACAGTAGATGCTGGGATGTGGTCTGGTTCGAAATGTGCTAGTCCTTGTGGCTTGGGAGAAATGAGAAAGTAGGTTGTATTGATATTGATGAATTGGATTGGCGGGTGTTGGAGTTAAAACAAAAGAAAATTATTTGTATACTCTTTTATTCAATACACCTCACAATATTTATCGATTCAACTATTAAAATTTGTAATTTTTAGTTTTCTCGATTTTAATTCAAATTTAAAAATCATAATTTTTTAATAAAAATATTATGAAACATGTTGAAGTGGAGGATTTATGGATCATTATCCGAAAACAAATTAGATCCTTTATATGGCTAGGTGGAAGGGCAGAAATGTGGCCACTCCCTCTCATATTGGTGTCAAAATCCAAGGCAATGTGTGGTACCTAGGAAGGATGAAGGTTACTGGTGTCTAATTCCAAGCGTGGTTGTGATTATGTAATTAAGGAGGAAGGACACTGGCTTCTCTTGTTTTGTATTTTATATATATATATATATATATATGGGTTGAGT